ACCCAGAAACTCAGGGTGAGAACCCAACCAATGAATCAAAATAAAAACTTTATAAAGATAAAAAAAAAAATTGAACAATACCCAGATCAGTATGCAACCCAAAGAACCAAACAACGAACTAAATCAATAAAATAGCACAAACTTACAAAAAAAAGAAAAAAAGAAAAATGAAAAGGCATTACCACCCAAAGAAAGGGTGTAAAACAAAAAGAACCCCGCTTCTCATTCCTTTAAAAGTTCTAGGAATATGGAATCAAACAGAAGCAAAAAGGGGTTACCGTATCGGAAAAGTGTTCAGAAATTTTCCCCATCTTTGCACTTTCAAGGCTCATGCAGAAGGAAAGATAAGATCTTTGGCTCAAATCACCATCTTTTGTCTCGTTACTGATCTCAATACAAGCTCCTCCTCCTCTCGTTGAAGACTTAAACAATCAGCAAGTGGGTGATCATCATTAGTATCCTCTACCTCCAGCTCTGCTCACATTACATTCTTTTTTTTTTCCTTTTTAAAAGAAACAAAATAAATCCACACTCTCTGTTTCTCTCTTGATCTTTGCTCCTGGGACGCGTATCCCAGACATCACTCTTTCATGGACCTTTTCAGAATAGAAAGAATTTGCCAGAACTTCATTATTTATGCATGAATTTGCTTCCAAACCCTCATATTTCTTCTATTTGTAGGTTAAACTTCTAAATGTCCATTCTTGCTAATTTACCCCCATATGGTTAGCACGCTAAACTTCATAAGGGTACGTTAGTAGTATAACATGAATTTGGAGGGTATATTTGCAAATAGAATAGGCTTGGTTATATAATTTACAAAACGAACAATTTTTCTAAACAGACCCATTTCAAAAAAAAATTAAACCGATATTTTTTTTCTTATTTACCAAAACTGACCCGATTTTGTGATTAGCAGACTAATCACCTTCCTAAATAGTCGGGGTTGGCAACCCCGACTATTTAGGACGGTGTTAAACCCTAATTAGAAGCCTTAAACCCTAAAAATTAACGTCCTAAATAGTCGGGGTTGCCAACCTCGACTATTTAGGAAGGTGATTAGTCTGCTAATCACAAAATCGGGTCGGTTTTGGTAAATAAAAAAAGTCGGTTTTAAAAAAAAATTGAAATGGGTCTGTTTAGAAAAATTATTCTTTACAAAACATATATCATGTTTGGGAGAGATGGTCATTGGGCACTGGAATGGGAGTATTTTTGTCATTTAATTCCTTCTCATTTTGAAGATAAATGATGTTAAATGTGATTAGCATCTGTTCAAATTTTGAGGACTAAATCTACAAATAGTATAAGGCTATAAAGTAAAAGAGCCATTTTATATAAACTTTTTTCATATCAACCATTTTTTCTTGGGAAAATTGCTTGGAGAAACTCCAAAAAGTAATGTTACGCATCCTCCTCCCTGTTTGCGTCAAAAAATGCTAATAGGTATCCCAAACATAGAGAAGATCACTCAAAAAATATAAGAATTGAGCTCATACTGTTTTTGGAAAATCAAGACAGGTATGAACTGTCTTACACGCGAGACAGGCTTTGCTGTCTCGCCAGCGAGACAGGCTTTGCTGTCTCGCCAGCGAGACAGTATTGAAATGGTCAAAACCACCTTGATAACTGCCCTACACGTGTCCATTAACTGCCAAGGGACGTGGGAAACATCGTGGGCGAAAATCACGTGAATAACTGCCAAAATAACGGAGTTAGAAACGTGGGAAGGCAGTTAAAATGAAAACTGCCAGACAGTTACTATTTCCGAGACAGTATTTACTGTCTCGCGGGCCGAGACAGCAAACACTGTCTCGCGGCCTAATTTCGTCGTTTTGTTGAGTTTTGCAGTTACAGACCCCTGAGGTTATAAATACCCCCCTAGGGTCATTTCTAACGAGGATCGAGCATATTTTCGAGCAATCCAGAGTAGAGAGAGCAGATTTGAGTTTTCGTGTGACTCCTTGAAATTGAGCTTTGACTTGATTTTAAGAAGAACGACTATCTTACTTCGATAAGATATCGTTTCAATTTCTACTTCGATAACGAAGTTAGAATCATAAGCCCCCCTCTTCACGATCTGTGAATCGGCGGTCCACGAACCAAAGCGTTCCCGGCACAGGCAAAGTCCCACAAAACAGGATTCGATAGACGATTTTTGTGTTATTTTCTCAAAAGTTATAATTTTTGCTTTGTTGTGTAGAAGAGGTCTTATAAAAAGACTATTTCTTTGAATTTGTTGTAATCAAACAAAAATATAATGAATTCCACAGCAAAACCAACTTTTGACGAAAACAAACTAGCGACCACAGTGAGAGCCAGCGGCCTCGCTGCCGAGGCCGCCGTGTCGCAACCAATCAAGATCGTTGTTAACGAAGAGATCGAATACGAATTCGATCAGGCGAAATTCGAGGAGTACTTGTCATCCTCATCATCAAAACTTTCCTCACCTCGTAAGTGTAGGAAGTTTTCATCTCCAAAGAAAAATTTCAAGTCTACAATGCCAATGAAGGCCGTAGGTGAAGGTTCTTGCCCAATTGCTGCTAAAGAATCTACCTGCGACATCTCTGCTCCAAACGACTCTGTACCAGTCAAGGAGTCGTTGATTAATGGTTTACCGGTGCTGACGAAAAGAGCTCGTCAGAGACAGCGCCAGCGTCGTGCTCGTCAATTGGCCAAGGCCATGCAACAAACCGACGGGGTCCATTATTATGCGGACCTAGAGTCGAGAAAACAAAAAGCGGTTCAATTGCCTCAATGGTAAAATAATCATATTTCTGCAAAACTTACGACGGAGGAATGGACTCTCGTCAAAAGAGCTCGTTCAACCCTCAAGGAACGTATACAAAAACGTCAGGCAAAAGCTGCTCGAGCTCGTGCCCGTCGTCAACAAATACAAGGAACCAAGAAAGAAATAGTGTCTGAAAAGCCACCAAATAACCGTAAAGTTTGGGTTCCGAAGGCGCCGCAAACATCCGTTCCGTGCCCGTCTACTGCATCACCAGTCAAACCCTGGGTTAGCCCAGATTTATCAAAGTTCAAGATCACAATGGCGGATCGCCCCGGTCCTTCGGTTGAAGATCGAGGCAAAGCCCCAGTCAAAGAACAATCAGATCCAGCAAATAAACCCTTGGTGGTTTCTTATGCAGGGGGTCGTAAACACCCTCCTGTCAGAACTGCACCAGTCCAGAACGAGAGAATACCAGTTCACTCTCGTTTAGGACCTATGAAAAATCCACACCCTCATGGGGGTGTATTTAAAAAATTTAACCTTGGATTGCCCAAAGGTGACGACTGATCGCCCTGTGCATGTTAACAAGGTTCGGAAACCACAGATAGGTTGCTTAAATCACAATAATGATGAGCTGTACTATCAGAAAAATAATTCAAGAAAAAGAATTGTCCGAGAAGACGAGTCTCACTGCTCCTGCGAGAGGCTTATTAAAGCAGTATTGACAGAATGCGGTTGCTCTAAAACTAACTCAACAAGAGTCTCCGTATTTCAAAGATTGTCTACGGAAACGCCAAAACCCAAAGTGAGGCGCTTCAACAAGAAGAAACCTGCAATTCGGCGAGATGAATTCCCTGAGGTCACTATTAACATGATCGGCAGAGGAAAGCAGCTATTAGTCAACCCTGACCTTGATTTCTCTCCAGAAGGGAGAGTTGAGCGGGGTCTATCTCAAAGAATGTCGCGGTTACAACGAAGAGCCAGTCGACGTTGGGACTACAAGAGAATGCACGAGGGGTTATCTTCAGAGGAGGAACTGTCAGATACTTGTTCTGCCATCGCGTCGGATGATACCACGTCTAGTGTTGGGCGAGTCAGAGAATCTTTCGCAATCACGCCAGATCAATTGGCTCAAATATTACAGGAAGCGTTAGCCAAACAACGCGAGGAAATTAGAGCTGAAATCAAAACCGAGTTGGAGTTAACTATGCAGCAGGTTCGAGATTTGCAAATTCAACAATATCAACCAGAATCGAGCCAAAAGGCAGAATCCAGTCGGCGTAATGAAGAAGATGAGACTATCTTTGACGATCCTCCTCCAGATAAAGACAACTCCGGAAGCGGTCTGACCAAATCATCCTCTCAACCTCCACAGATCTATTTGAAGAAGAGTGAGGAAGAGGACAAGAAGATGCATGATCTCGAGAGCAAAGTCAACGCTCTGATGACGGCTCAAGAAGTGAAGAAAACGGGCATTCCATACCCGTACCCAAAGGAGTGGGATCTGATTCCTTATCCCCCAAAATTTAATTTGATTAACTTTACTCCTTTTGATGGCAGGTGTTCACCTACTCAGCACTTGATCTATTTCAAGTCGCATCTCGGCGCAATATCCGGGAACAAAGCCCTGATGGTCCGGTCATTCATAGGGACCCTTCGCGGGCCTGCCTTCGATTGGTACCGACGTCTCAAACCCGGGAGCATCACTAGCTGGGAAGATATGGAAGGATTGTTCCTCACCAATTTCTTCGACGACGACACGGAAGTCTCAATTGGCACCTTGTTGGATGAGAAGCAGATAAACGGGGAGTCGGTCGATGTCTTCGTCAAATAATTCTGGAACAAAACGGTAAATTGCCGAGATCCACTCATAGAAGAGTTTATCCTACAGACATGTCACAATAACTTGTCGCTGGATTTGTTAGAAGTCATGGGGGTAGTACCTTCTAAAACTTGGAAGGAGTTGAAAGTGAGAGGTGAACAAGCCGAGCGCTTTCTTAAGAGAAAGAAGTTAGAGAGGGGACTGCCACAAGATAATCCTCAGAAACAGAATTTTAATTCTCGAGGCAGAGGAAGAGGGTCTGGGGCTGCTGTTGATGCGCATCAAACATCACAACAGCCACAACAACAACCACAGCAGTCATCCTTCCAATTGGCGCCGAATCAGAATCAACAACCTCTGAAGCAGTTTAAGGCCTCAGAGCCTAAATTCCCGAAGGAGTATTCTTTTAAGGATGATGAAGTTCCAGTCATCCTCAAATACCTGCTAGATAACAACAAGATCAAGCTTCCACCGGTCACAAACCAAGAAGAAGCAACGAAGACTAATGACCCGAAGTATTGTGCATATCACAGAAGGGTCCATCATCCCACTAAGGCGTGTTATGTCTTAAAAGATAAAATACAAACCTTAATCGATGTTGGTATCGTGACACCAAAGCCGAAAGAGAAGAAAGTAGGTGCAAATGCAGTGTCCATTAGCTTCGGATCGGTTCCTTTATCCTGGTTTCAAGCTGAACCAGTATCAAAGGTCAAGATGCAGACCATCAACGATGATCCGCATGGACAGCGCCAAAAAGGGCTTGTATCTCACACAACCCCCAACGGCGAAATCCTTTGGGTTCATCCGGATTTGCTTAAAGATGAACAGTGGACGACATCCACATCAAAGAAGAAATCAAATGGTAAAGGAAAAGAGAAGTCATGTTATGGAGCCTCGGTAATTCCTGAGGAGAACGACGAAGAAATCCCAGTCCTACCACTTTCCGAAGGAGAACAGGAATCTTTTGTTACTAGGAGTGGAAGTGAATACTGTTTCAACCACCCGTGCGCATCCGAGCAATTAGCCCACCAGG